ATTTATTTATGTATTTATGTATTTATTTATTTCCGACAGCGTAAAGATATTTAGCTCACCCGTGTTTCCGTCCAGACAGGTTCTTTCTTCAGCTCCGGTCTCGAGAACGATACACACAGCGGCCGAAGACCAGCGTGGACTCTTTGCAGCGGAGGAAAAGAAAATACTTTGTCTTCCACTCACGGTCCAGCCGACAATTCGGCCACGGCGAGTGGCTCCCGAACCCGGAAACTGCCTTTAATGACAACGCCAAAAACTGTCGCGGCAAGATGGGCAGAAACACGTTGAAATGATGTCAAAAAGACAAAAAGTCTTGCGAGTATGGTCGTAAAATCATTTATTAATGGGCAGACAAAGAACAGAAAACAATCAGGAAGTCTGTTGAGTGTGACCACCCGTCTGAGGGCGGAAAAGCAATGTTATACCTTCAGCTAACATCATGTGACAATGAACAACCAATCACAACCTGCCTCATGTCACTAACAGCCAATGACAAGCTCTAAACCCCAAGGTGACCATATCATTAAAAAGAGGCCATCTTGATGTTATAGCCTCTGACGTCTGGAGCCACAGATTAAAGAAACAGTCATAAGATATTACGAGATATGAACAGTGGACAGTGTCAAGGTGACAGAAATAATTAGTCCATGACAAAAGGTTTCTGTACCAAATATTAAGTTTCATTTTTCTGGTGTATCAAATACTTATTTCACACAATAAAATGGAAATTAATTATTTAAAAATCATACATTGTATTTTTCTGGATTTTTGTTTTAGATTCCATCACTCACAGTTGAAGAGTACCTATGATAAAAATTACAGTCATCTACAAGCTTTGCAAGTGGGAAAACCTGAAAAATCAACAGTGTATAAAATACTTGTTCTCCCCACTGTATGTCATTTGATACACGTAGAAGAGCGGTTTCAGTGGAGTGAAATTTGCGGAAGCCCGATTGACAGAAAATTTCTGAAATCTGACGATTCACCAGTCTTGAATCATAAGCCAATTCAAGCTTATGAATGTCTGCTCTGCTGGAAGCAATCCTTTTGCCCTCACAGATTGCTGTTTGCAAGTGTGCCGCTCATACGAGTGGCTGTGACCCAATTTCTGTTGGAAACAGGAACGCCGATGAGGCTGCCAAGGTGGCGGCCTTGGGCCCGCAGGTGTTTACATTTTTTTTGAAGATAAGGCTGCAGAAGCCTGCTCATCAAGAGACATGCAAGGCTTTGCCACAGCACCAGAGACAGGCCTGGAGGAAAGCAGGCTGCTTTTTTGAAAATGACACCTGGGTGGGTCCGAACTCTAAACCTTGTCTGCCAAAACATTTTTTCAATTATTTTGCAAAACTGTCCCATGG